TCATATGGTGTGCCTCACATGCTTGTGATTTTGTAATAAAAGGGTCATTGTTTGTGCCAGGCCCTCTATTTTAGGTAAAATTAACATTGAAATCAGTAGATTCTGTGTAAAGTACATAACCCTCCATAATGTCAGTAGGGCTCATCTGATCAGAAGAAGGTCTCAGGAGAAAAAAGGGTGACTTTACCTGAGCTAGAATTCTGCCAGCAGACTGACTTTGCACTCAACTGCAAAATCAGCTGTCCCCTGGGTCTCCAGCCTGCCAGCCTGCCCTGCAGATTTTTAACATACTAGTGTCCATAAATGCACAAGCCAGTTTCCTAAAACAAATCTCTGCGTATACATTTCCGTATATACGCATGTCCTAGTGGTTCAGTTTCTCTAAAGAACCTCAAACAATTACAGCATCCTTTAGTCATTTACTCTTTCAATGAATCAGTCAATACATCTTATTCTAAAAATCAACCAACACTCAAGAACCAACGTCCCACAGTCACCAACACCAGAGTAAGGACACAATCTCTGACACTTACTAACCTCAACTTTTCCACTCCAGTGAGGGAGGCAGAGAACATGACCTCCTCACTGTTTCATTTCTCTAGTGACACAAAGCACCTGCACGTTTTCTCTTTAGAGAAGCAGGTGCTAAAAGAACCTGGTGCAGAATGAAGCCATGCTGTGATGGTGTTAGGTGAGGCACTGACTTACCACTGGACTCTTAGGGGAAAATACTTCCCATGGTGAAGCTGAGTGGCTGATGGTATCACTTCCTCTAAATATTTCCACTCTTTACAAGTGAAGCTGTGGGTGGGGAATTTTAGTCATGGAAACTAGTCAAAAGGTTATAAAAGGTTCACAAACACTTTCCCATTTAATGACTGTGTGAGAGCTAATTAGTCCCATATACTGTAAGGAAAAATGAATCTAAAAATACATCAGTGGGAAGGCTTTGTGGGAAGCATGGTATGAAATTTGGTTCAGGGCCTAGGAAAGTGATCAGCCCTGACAGCACCCATTTGCTCATCTGGGGGAGGATGCTTTTGTGCAGTGAGTTTTTGTAGAGATCCTTCTACCAACACTTTGTGAGGTAGGAGAAGTGGACAGTGAGGGCAAAAGCCTTCCTCAATGTGCCCTCAATCAGCAGTTTTTCATTCTAGAGTATGTTTTATCTCTAGTTAAACATCAGTTAAATATCTTCCTTGTCTCTATTTAAGGCCCCTTCTTTCCTTTGATATTTTTTATTTTTTTTCCTGACCCTCAGGTCCCTAATTCATTCATCTTTTATCCCCATTTAAAACTTGTTTCTAACATAAGGCAAAGCCTCATGCCTGTGCTGGTAATATTTTGTACATCAGACAAGGAGAAATTTAGGGGGCATTGGGCTTTCCTGAAATTATGTTCTGAGCCTTCATCTTTGATCTTTAGCAATTACTGAGCACTGCCAATTAATAGAAATGATAGATGGTCATGTGTCTACACAATAAAATGCTGTGAAAATGAGTCATCAGTACCTACTTGCACTGACATGGATAACATTCCAGAATCATCCTGAGCCTGAGAGACAGTTATAGAAAAGTAAATATGTTATGATTACATTTGTTAAAATTTTCCAACCAGGCAAAAATAAACTGCATAGACACACCAATCACATATAAGTTAATTTATATGTAAATACATAAAAATTGCACATACTTATATGCATCTATATGTGCATATAGACATATAATGCCAATCTGAAAAAAGAAATAAGGGAATGTATTTAACACAAAATTTAAGACTGCAGCTCCCTTTGTGGAGGGTGTGGGTGGAGTCAGACATAATTGTTTAGGGGCATATAGCTGACTTCAAGGGTTGTTGGTAAGAAGGTCAGTAAGTGAATGTGTACAAATTTTATTGTTTCTATGATTATTTAGAATACACATGTACATTATACACACCTCTTTGTAGTATGAAATGTTTTACAATAATTACACCTTTTCTGAATTGAAATTTACCTGGACTATTAACCCCTCATTATCACATTTATTGGAAAGTGGAAGGGGGAGGGGCTTGGAGAACAGGTGGTTACAGAGATTAAAAAGAAATTTAAATGAGTTATAGACCTCTGTTAACCAAAGCATCTATTCGAAGTGAATGTGAAAAGAGGGGTGGATGCATTGACACCTCAGCCTGTCACTTCATTTCACCATTGCTGAGTTACTTCTAAATACTCAGTATTTTTCCTTGTGGCTAGAGCTACCATATAATGAAGCTTTGTGGTATTGATTATGAGTAGTCTATACTAGTACTGCCTGGATATTCAGAGCCCACATGGCCAGTGAAATTATTTACATGGATGACCAAAATCTGAACCAATCCAGGACTGGGTCTCCACCAGCTTTTACAGTCCTGTGACTGGGAAGCAGCATCAGCATCAATTGAATACCTAAACCACGAAACTGAGGATCATTTCCGGCACTTCCACCTTGCTCTTCTTTCCTGTCCATCACCCCAAGTCCTGTGGATTTTCCTTTCTGAGATGACTAGTTCTAGTTGTATAACTCTGTTTCCACTGTCACCACTCTTGTCTTGTCTGTGTATATAACTAGAAGTGGAATTGCTCAGTCATTTGGTAATTTTGTGTTTAACTTTTCAAGAAACCATTGTAGTCTTCTTGGAGAATGCATTCTTCTGTGCTTCTGTTTAAATGTTAGAATTTCTTGAAGTTCTTAAAAAATCTTAAGCTACCCTTCTTTTTCCTCATTTGATGCTCTTAAGTATAGTCAGCACTGGCTTAGCTGACTTGATTGATCTAACTGGGCTCCCTGTCCAGAGCATGGCCCCTCCATCCATTCATCATACTGTATCAAGAGGGAGTCCTTAAAAATGCAGCTCAGCACCTCTAGCTCCTTCACCCTTTTAGAAATGGCAGCATTTTTAATTTTGCTCCTTTAGACTCACCTTAAGCTACAGCCCTTGTCCCTCTGGTCACACGGGCCTTAACTGTTCTGGACAATTTCGTGTTCTCCCACCTCAGGGCATGGTAAGACTGTTCCCAGGGTCTGGGCATTAGACAGTCCTTTGCCTTGTGCACTCGCGCGGTTTTTCAGTCCTCATACCCATCCTCCTTATGGAAACCTCCCCAACTCCCAGATGAAATCGTTTTCCCCACAGTATGTTCTGGTCCTCACCACAGGTGTGTATGTATTCATTTATAAAGGCCAGTCCTCCTCTAGACTGGTCTTTTTTGGAGGATGAAACATCATCAGTTTTGCTTCAACTTATATAAGTTTTGACTTAAAAGTGCCCTCCACGGAGTGGATACACACTAGATGGTTGTTAAATTAATTAATGAGAAATGATGGAGCTCTCACTCAGAACTGATTTCACATCCTTCCCCTTCCACCATGCCATTCCACGCCATCCTTAGAAGAGGAATGTCCTTGAAAATATCCACACTTGGGAGGAAACAGGAACAAGGAGGAAAATTGCTTGGCTGGTTTCCAGGATTCGGTCAAGGACATTGCTCTTCACACCCACTGCTGGTGGGAAACCAGCTTATAGGGGAGGAAAGGGCCTACTCAAGCAGGAGTTAAAAACATGGAGTACCCATTTTACCTCACCAGTGCAGAGAAAACACTGCTCGCTTACTTCCACACACTCAGCCTTAAGCAACATACAACAGTCAGTTGCCCCTTAACCCGAGGGAGATAATGTTCCTAAACCCCATGAAACCTCAGACAGTACCGAACCCTATATAAATTATTATTTTCCTATATGTACACACCCGCAATAAAGTTTAATTTATAAGTTAGGCACAGTAAAAGGTTAACAATAACTGATAATAAAAGAGAAATGTGAATGTGGTCTTTCAAAATAGCTTTATTGTACTGAACTCACTTTTTCACTCAAAGGAAGCACTTTATGGCATCTCTTTGGCATATCTGAATTGCCAACATCATTACTTGATGCTTTGGGACCACTATTAAGTAAGATAAACACAAGCATTGTGAGACCAAGGCAGTTGATCTGATAACCGAGAAGGTACTAAGTGGGTAATAGGCGGGGAGTATATACAGTCTGGAGATGCTAGACAAAGAGATGATTTGCATCTCGTGCAGGATAGAGCAGTATATTGCAAGATGCCTTCATGTGACTCAGAAAGGTTACCTAATCAAAAAATTAGGAATTTTTAATTCTGGAATTTTTCATTTGATATTTGCCAACCATGGTTGATGGCAAGTAACTGAAACCGCGGATAAAGGGAACTGCTATACAACCCCTTTAGAATAGCTTCCCCATTTAAAGTTATATGTGTTCTTCATTTTGAAGCAATTTCAGCAAGATAAAAAGGTGACCTCAAATCTTTTGTGAAAGAAAGGCAATTGCAAGAATGAATGAGTTAAATGAATTAATAAATATAGACAAAAGTATGTATTTGTTGTGGTCATGTTTGGACAGGTAGAAAAGTATTATTTGTTTCCAGCCCCTTAGAGAGGATGCTGACGATCAGTTCTCTACAGAGCTGAGACACACATTGAGTTCAATTCGCAATCACGATTCTCGCTCCCCAGGAGTCATTCCCAGAGAGGCTGAATATGGCATTATAGATGACTCCAATCCATCATAAAGTAGAAGTGACAGCTCACAGTCTGAAGTACTGAAATAATTTAGGAAAAGTTATTAAGGTTAACACAGGTAAGTGCTCTGAGGACGGTAGGAAGGAAAAACCATCTGCTTTACACACCAGGACACGCCTACCCAGGATGATTTCAACAAATAGAAGCATATAGATTTTAAGTTGCATTAAAGCTAGTGCCTCCAGGTCAACTTGAAGGAGACTCGGAACCACTATTTCTCCTTTGGGGCATGCTGAGTCCCTCCCACCTCCATTTATTTAAGGCACATTAACAGTGGGGAACACCACCAGCTAGAAGTCTGACACCAACTCCGGAAGTCAGAGTCTGAGCAAGTCTCCCCCACTTCTCCCTTCAGGTCACAGCAAGTGCTTGAGAACTCACCCAGGGCAGAACCATTGGTGGATCATCTGGTCTTCCTGATTGTTCTTGCCCTTCTCTGGGCAGGCAGGCGGGAGGTGACAGCTCAATCCTGTCTCATGATCATGCTTCTCTCTCGTTGCACCCACCAGACTTGCTTCTAAAGGCAGCTGTGAGCATTTCCCTACTGAGCAACCACACACGTAGAATGTGAGTGGTGTAAGCGTGTGTATGTTTTTCCTTCCGGTTTCTGTGAAGCGATGTTGTCTCAGTTCATTTCCTCTCTGAGCCTCTTTTTTTCTCAGTTAGAACTTCTGATACACTGTGGATGGTTTGTAGTTTAGTGACAAGTGAGAGGTCTAGTTAGAATCTGTACCATTTGCTATTTTGAGAAAGATAGGAGATCTTTAAATTATTATTGCAACAGAGCTCTGTGGAATCTACTTTCAAAGTGGCTTAAGCTCCTTTCTAGGCTGCAATGAGGCAACAATTAATCTATTTTTAAGGCGAATGAAATTGAGATTTTTGTGATTTTATGGCCTCAATATGCTCCAGAGTTCCACTATAAGTTGTCATAAGCCATCCTTCTACCCTTCCACTGAGCAAATATTCACTGAGCCTGTACCCTCTGTTAGTCACCCTACTAGGGGCTAGGTACATAAATGGAGACTCTTCTATTTAAGATGTGTTATGGGGTCTTGACCAGTGTGGCTCAGTTCGCTGGGTGTCATCCTGCAAAGCAAAAGGTCACTTTTTCCAGTCCAGGCACATGCCTGGATTTCAGCTTTGGTCCCATTTGGGGCACATATGAGAGGCAACTGTTATTGATGTTCTTCCTCACATTGATGTTTCTCTCTCTCCCTAACTCCCTTCCCCCGTCTAAATATAAATAAATAAAATCTTAAAAAAAAAAAGTGGTATGGAAGCCTAGATTTGAGTATGTGAAAGGGAATTGGAAAGTCACTTAGTCCCAAACCCTTTGTGTTTTCTGGCTTGTCCTTTTAAGAAGCAATCAAGCAAATGTACCCTGAGGCTAAGTGCTCAGGTTTGAACTATCTCTACCCTTTAAAGACTTCTGACATTTCTGTGCCTTAGCTTTCTCATCTGCAAAATGGGTGTAATCATAGGGTTGTTGTAAGAATTAGGTAACTTAGCATATATAAAGCACTCAAAGAGTGCCTGGCACACATAAATAAATAAGAAGTATATAAGTATTTGCTATTATTATTAATGACATGTAATGTTATTATAAGCTCAGTCCTTTGCTTTTTTCCATCTCTCCCCTACTTTCTACCTCTTGTTGGTACCTAGAAAATGATTTGGAGACATAGAGGGTTGAGAAAAGAGAGAGATGACTGGAACAATTGATGCTCCCAAAATGATTCATTGGTACCTGATGCTCTTGCTTCTTCCTCCTCTGACACCAAGACAAGGAAAGGGTTGTTTTTGGTCCTCCCCTCATCCTTATACTAAATGTTGTATGTTGCACTCTTGTGACTTCTGTTCTTTTGTTTTGCTTTAATTTCAGATTCATGCCATTTATTTTAAAATGCTGAGCTAGCCCTGGCTGGTGTGGCTCTGTTGGTTGGAGCATTGTTTTGTAAACTGAAAGTTCATAGGTTTGCTTCAGGGTACATGTCTGGGTTATGCATTTGGTCTCCAGTCACAGCACATATGAGAGTCAACCAGTCGATGTTTCTCTCCCTCTCCCTCTCTTCCTCTCCCTTATTCTCTCTCTAAAATTAACAGGCATGTTCTCAGGTGAGGATAAAAAAGAAAATTTCTAAAGACATAACCTCAGAAGTTATACTTCATTATTTCTGCATCATTCTATAAAAAATGTTGAGCTAGCTTACATCACGCTAGGGAATATTCTGCCCATAAGCAGATACCACATTTGAACAAAGAAACACACACTCAGGCCAATACCTTGTGCAAATAAATTAATAATAAGAACACATATTAATCATTATACATATATTGCATCCTTAAGTGAAATTAGCAAAATCCATGATAAAAATATCAACTTATTCTATTGTTATATATCTCTCTCCCCCTTTAAAAAAACACTCTAAAATACATGTTATGTATCAAAAACTGTTACAGATTTGGGGTAGAATTAAAACTTTAATAAATAAAAACTTTCCCAAGTTTTATTTTATCATTATTTTTTAAATCCTCACCTGAGGATGTGTTTATTGATTTTAGAGAGAAGGGAGAGAGAGAAAGAGAAAAACACTGATGTGAGAAAGAAAAGTCAATCAGTTGCCTGCTGTACATGCCCCAGCTAAGGATTGAACCTGTAACCTAGGTGCGTGCCCTGATCAGGAAGTGAACCCCCACAACCTTTTGGTGTACAAGGCAATGCTCCAATCAATGGAGCCACCAAGCCAGGGCCCAAGTTTTATTTTATAGTACAGAATATTCATAAAAAATTGATAGAAGTAGAGGAGCAATATAAACATATATTTTTTCAAAATGTCCCTCTATTCATTTTCTATTATACTACCCAGCTAAAATATTATGTTCTTCATTAGATATTTAAGCAGTATAAATTTAAATGTGTCAATTATAGAAAAAATAATTTATAGAGTATAATGAGAAGATGAATGGCGTTGAGTTGTCTCCACAAGTCAATGACATTCTAGATATACTAACTAAAGCTTGGCTTGGCCATAATTTAAATAAAGTACTTGAGTTTAGCAACTTGATTATACTTAGCTCTGTTCTTTTATCTACATCCTCATGGCTTCTTTTCCCACTTTGAGAATGGGGAGAAGGCATTTTTGTCAAAGCAAACTAAGAAGACCAATCTTTGTCCAAAAACAGATCAGAAAAACAAGTTAAATATTTTTCTTACTTGGAAAGATGAAGGTTTTCTATGTCTGTTTTCCTACTTGCATCTTAGATTATTTTCTCCTTCTTCTTCTCCTTCTTCTTTTCCTTCCGCTTCTTCTGGTTTGTTTTCTTCTTTTTGATTAGTAGTAGGTTATGCCATGTGTCAAAATTTTGATAAACCACAGATGGTTCTGACAAAAACCAAGCAGCTGTAATTTTTAATCACTCTATCCAATAAAGGCCATGTTTACATTTTCAGCTTTATTCAAACAGTCTTTTTGAATGCTTTGATTAGCTTCTTCATGCCATCTCAGTTAGATGGGATATCAGTTAGCACCGCAAAATGGTTTATAACTACCTGTTAAGCAATAGCCAAACCTCAGGGAACTGTTTTGAATTTGCCATGAATATTTCGTCCAGGAAGTGAGCTGTTGTATGGAGTGGAGGTTGAAGGGTAGGGAAGAGAGAAATGAGGAGCTAAAAAATTAGAAATCTATGGCCAAGTTGTGTGTGCATTTGTGTGTGTGTGTTTCATTCCATTTGCTTGACTCATTTCCATCCATGATTGAAGACAGTATTAGCTACAGAGAATCAGCTGCCCACTGAGGAATTTAAATAAATATGCTCAAGAGTTGGTTTGGCAAGTTTTAAGAGCAATATTGTCTAGTATTATAATATATGCCTTATTCCCACTCAAGAATAGGAGTTAGTCTTGTGGTTTTCATTTTTAGTTGAAGAAATCAGAGTTCAAAAAGATCCAGTCCTTTTGTCCATTCAATACTACTCTGTACCTAAAAACTCCCCTGAGCTTCCCTGTGCATTTTTGATAGATTGGTCCACAAGACACAGGGCCTGCCCTCAATAAATTCATAACTTAGTGAAGAAATTATCTAGTGAGATAACTATTGTGATGAATTGGTTTACTCATGATAATAAAAGCAGCTATTGAATAAGTGCTATGATAAATAAGAAATGAATGAAAATCAGCTCCTTCCCTAAGAGAAATTACAATCTAGTAGACATGGCAAACCGAACTCTCTATCTTTTTCTTCTGCTCTCTAGTGACTCACAACCCTCATTTTCTCTCTCTAATACAGGACATTTTTTGTCTTCTGCTTCTTCTGTTCTCCCAGTCCAGCAGGCAAGTCTTGGAATCTAGTGCTCTTACATTGTCAACACCTCATGACCAGTTATTTTAGCAATGCGTTAATATTGATTTCCATTTTCTTGTTCTTCTGAGTACTCACCCATTCACAGCCCCAGGAGGAAGCTCAGTCTACTTTCCCTCATGCTCCAGAGCTGCTCAGATTCACTGGGAAATGTCAACAAAAGCCAATCTCTTTCCTTGCAAATTCTCCCCAAACAACCTCAACTGAGACACTTTTACTGCTCAGGAATCTGTCACTTCCCACCGACTATCTGTCAAGTCTTCTTTCCAAAGATTTCTCACTCTGCAGAAACTCTGAGCCTAACACTCACCTCATGCCATGCCAAGGGTAAGAGCTACTAATGTGGGCTCTATTAGCATCTCTGATGGTCTCTGAGAATTCCACCCTTCCATCCATCCTGTTCTTCATTCTTGGCTCATCTTTCATCCTTTGAATGATAGATAGCTTCAAGCATTACCACTTCATTAATAACAATAGTAATAGCTATCATTTTTTATGCTTATCATGAGAAGGTAAATGGCATTTGCAAAGATGAAACCTTTCTTTTAGCTCATGGAATAGCTGTTTGAAGAAACATGAGCACCTAGAAGAGCAAAAAGAAAAAAGGCTGAATTATTTTTAAGAGAAAACTAATGGAAAATTCGAAAGATTCTGATTTATTGAAAGCATTCATTGAATGAATATGGGCATTCGGCTATCACCAAGCACTGATTTCTCTGTTACTTACATACTGTTTACCTATCCTTCTACTAGGTGGAAACCATCTTTGACTTCCCAAAAAATTGATTGGAAAAATCTTCTTGGTGGTTTTTCGTAATTTTTCAATTAATTAAAAAAATCTACAAGGAATAAATTCATATTGTAAACAAGTAACATTGCAGGTAAAACTAAAGGGCATTTTGACCATCAACCCTAATGTTAGTTTTAGCCCCTGCTTTTTCCACAGTGAAACCTTGCCATCAATTCGGAATGTATTTTTCCAAGATATTTTCTAGGCAATTTTATAAATGTATGTAACTACTGTCCATTTGCAACTGTGCACACGTGCAGTCTCACCCATGAGCGTGTTTGTGCTCATGGAACATGAGACTGAAACCATCATAGTACAACGGTTTCTGAGGGAACTATATAAACTGCTGTTCTGGTTTCACACAAAATAGCAATTTGAAAACAACATCTTATTCGTGAGA